AAGAAACCAGGCGCCGAGTTCGAAAAAGCATTCAAAGTACCAGCGAGCGTGTTGTCACTGCAGGTGTCATATTTACAGGGGCGGTAGTGGTGTCAGATGGGGAAAGAAAGAAAAAAAAAAGAAAAAGAAAAAAAAAGCCCAACGGATACTTCTCGACCCAAATTGCCGTTTCTTTAATGGGTGCCTGTTTTCTTTGCCGGCGCACACCTTTTTTTTTTTTCCCTCGCCTTCGCAAACTCCAAACTGCCGCGACCGCCGTTGTTTCAAGAAAGTTACCACAGTAAAAAAACTTTAAAAAACTTAGAAAAACTTTTTAACTTTTAAAAAACTTGAAAAAAGGAAATAAGAACAGATTCAGTGTGCCTCATGCTGTGTGCAATTTTCTGCATCTGTTTTGCAATGTGTGCTCCCTAAACCACCAGAACCCCCAGGGGGGGGGGGGGTCTTAGGCACCCTCTAAGCCCCCTCTGACGCAAATGCATATGGACCCGCATGGCACACCGATTCATCCACCGCGTGAAAGACCTAAAAACGTGGAGGTACTTGTGGTCTAATCCACAGCGTGTTGTCATCAGGATTTCGGACAAGTTTGACCCCGTCTACGTTCGCTCTTTGCAGTTGCAAGAGGGTCCCCTCTGTTCGGAGGAGCATTCAAAATAGATGGACTTCGTGGGAAATTCGTGCACAGCAAATTAACCGAACGGCGAGCGAGCTGCTACTACTGGAAAAGGAACATGTGGGCATCACCTGAGTCTTACAAAGACACAAAAACTATGGTTATGGAAAAAGAAAAGAGCTTCAAAAAAAGAGATCAAGAAGAGTCTGATGACCAATCACTGCTACCAGGGTTCCCCGGGCCTGAATGTGAGGAATCATGAGAGGATTAAAAGACGTCACGCTATTGTGAAGCTGCCTATGAGACACTGGGCCCGGTTCTCCGCAGGTGGTGCTGCCCACGGGCTATGATAATTTGGGACTCGACAATTACATGGACATTGTGTTCCCGTGCCTCTGCATGCCATGATGGTTTACGACAGGACTTGGAATGCCAGTGTCATGAATGTTTCTTGGCTCTCGGCAGGTACCCCACCAATAGAAAGGATCCATTGTTTTGTTTTTGAAACATTTTAAAGTATCTTTGTTTAAAAAAAAAAAAAAAAAAAAAAAAAAAATGGAGTCCGATGAAACGAAACCATTGGGATCTGTAACTTTCAACCAACATCCACGAAGATGATGACGCACATGTTAACTTGGGTTTTGATGTGACTTCCAGAAGTTTTGAGAATTTCCAGCGCTTCCCAGCTGAAGATTTCCAAAGCACCCATAACTACCTCACGCACAAAGAGCTTGTTGTTAGATATGAAACTGACTACCGGTAGCAACGAAACACTGAACCTGGCCTGTTTCCGTTCTTGTTTTTTTGTTTCCTCCATTCAACATCATGTCGCGGCATTGTGGCCACATGGTCATGGCATTCTGATTCCGTTCTTGTTTTTTTTTCCCCTCAACGGAGCAGATATGAAACTGACCAGAACAGGCACTGCACTTGGTATCGGCCAAAAGGCCTGGAAAGATATAAATGTGGCCATTTTGTGATTGTGCACCTGTTGGTGCTTCTGCTGAACATTTGCATTCGTTCTCTCTCTCTCTCTCTCTCTCTCTCTCTCTCTCTCTCTCTCTCTCTCTCTCTCTCTC